CCCAGCCTCAGACCAGATAACAAACTACCAGCATCCCCAGTGCACTGCCAAACAGGCCCAGCCTCAGACCAGATAACAAACTACCAGCATCCCCACTACACTGCCAGCCAGGCCCAGCTTCAGACCAGATAACAAACTACCAGCATCCCCACTGCACTGCCAGGCAGGCCCAGCTTCAGACAGAGACCGCAGATAACTATGTAACTTTGTGCAAATTAACAAGTATGAATTTAAACACAACTCTGTCTCAATCCAAAATCCATTTATCACTCTCCACCAAGCAATACGGAGTTACCAAACATGGAAAAAGTTTCTTTACTCCAGAGGGCTGGTTGGAAAGGGAGCAGTGTTAGGCAGGAACCAATGAGAATGCTCTGTGAGGGGCCAGGAAAGGCAGGCAGCACCACGGCACAGGAAGGGACGGCTCCAGATTGTGGGCTGATGCCAGCACATGCCAGAATCCAGCCAGCTGCCAGTTCTGTCACTGGCCAAAAGCTGAGAATGGGTTTTCTTTTGTGTGTGTGTGTGTGTCCTGGTGTCAGCAGAGGGTGTGCTCACCGGCAGAGGCACCAATTCAGACTGCAGCTGCCCAAGCTGCCCAGGGTCCAAATAGACCCCCAAGGCCATTCCCAAGGGGATACTTCAGGCACTCTGGGTGGGGAAGCTCTGCTTTAATTTCTGTTGCCACACTGTCAGGACATTTCACTAACAACTACCTCATCTGACATCTCTTCCCTCAGACAAAAGCAATCATAAACTGCTACTATCTATCTTTTGCATAAATTATGCAGAGATCAGGCTGCCAAAGCCCTGGCCGCCAGTCCACAGTCAGAGCAAGAAAAAGGGAAAGGCAATGGGCAACAGGCAGAGGCCCACCGAGAGCACCCCCACCCCACCCCACCCCCTAAATTCCACTTTACTTGGCATTGTCTGGGGGCGTCAAGCTAGGACACCTGCAGGCAAAGGGGTCTGGCAGAGACTAACCCACGTGAAACGGAGTTGCTATTAGGAAGGTCAGAGAGAACAGACAGGAGGGTGTCTGGCCTAAGGGTTCCATCCCAAGTCAGAGTCCAGTAATGAGCTCTTAGTGGAAAGGATACTAGGACATGCTCTGGCAGTTCCTCCTTTTTCACCGGCACGACTGACTGCACAGTTCCTCAGGGAAATGTCCTGCAGTTTGCTCAGCTGACTGCAGGAAACAGAGTTCACGCGACACATCAGCACACGCCCCGTCCAGTGGCCCGGCAAAACCCAAACAGCATTTCAGACACACAGCGATATGCCGAAGGGAACATACAAATGCAGTAACAGCCAGACGCAGTGGCTCACTCCTGCCTTCCCAGCACTCTGAGAGGTCGAGGCAGGTGGATTGCCTGAGCTCAAGAGTTCAAGGCCAGCCCGAGCAAGAATGAGACCCTGTCGCTATTTTTAAAAATATTTGTGTGTACATGTGCATGTGTGTATATGTACACACACACACACACACACAGTAATTCATCACTGAAATTAAGACAGCGTTACCCAAAAAATCATTACAAATGCAACCGAGGTCCTTTGTGTCTCTCTCTACATGACACAGTCCTCTCCTCTCCCATGTCCCAGGGGCAGCCTAATACTACATTTGGGGTGTATTTAATCAAAAACATTTTGCAATACTTTCACACTATATTTCCATATCCCTAAACAATGATGGCATCGGTGTACACTATGAAGTTTGATGTCAAGGGTAGTCTACTATGTAGAGCCTTTCAAAACTTACTTTTTTTTCCCTCAACAACCTATTGCTAAGCTAAAGATTTGGCCTTATGGACACACAGGGCTCCAAAGCATTCATTTTCACACCTTATAGGTTTTTACTGTATGAATAGACCACAATTTATTTGCTCTTCTGTTGACATTTGATTTCGATTGTTCAAAACCATACTAAACACTCCTGAATACTTCTTGCACTCAGAGTCAAAGTATCTAGAGATGCGTCCTGGTGAGTGTGCTCAGCCTCTGCTCTACTACCCTCAGCAACCATTTCTTAAGTGCAGAAAATCTGTGTTCTCTATTCATTGAAGGAATCCACATGTTGTGTCCAAGAACACAGAATCTGGAACCAGACTGAGTTCAAATCCCAATTCCACCAGCTTTGGGCAAGTTAATTAACATCTCTGTGTCTCAGACGTCATAGCTTTAAAACGCTATGGTGCACACACACAGTATTCACAATTGTCAAAGTGGAAACAACCCCAAGTGTCCAAGGACAAATGAATGGATAAACATGGGGTAAATACATCCAAAGATATACTGCACAGCCTTAAAAAGGAAGCCTGACATAGCCTCCAACATGGACCCACTGTGAGGATATTATGGTAAATGAAGTAAACCTGTCACAGAAGGACAAATACTATACGATCTCACTCATATGAAATGGAGACAGAAGGCAGAACGGTGGTTTGTGTGCCAGGGTCTGGGGAGAGGGGAAATAGGGAATTACTGTTGCACGGTAAATTGTAGATGATGCAAAAGTTTTAGAGATTGGTTGTATAGCAATTTGGATATAGTTAACACTACTGAACTAAACACAGATGGTTAAGATGATATATTTTACGTGTGTTTTACTATAATTTTTTAAAATGCTATAATAATTTAGTGAGTTAATAATATCTGTTAAGCTCTCAGAACACTGCCTAGAATACTGTAATTCACCTTTTATCACTTAGGTACTTATAAAATTAAACACAAAATTTGCAAATTGACCGACAGGTTGAAAAATTAAACAAACAAAAATAGTCTAGGCACAGTGGCTCACGCCTGTAATCCTAGCACTCTGGGAGGCTGAGGTGGATGGATTGCCTGAGCTCAGTAGTTTGAGAAGAGTTTGAGCAAGAGCAAGACCCTGTATCAATTGAAAATAGGAAAAAAAAAAAAAAAAAA